ACTAAACTGGTCCAAGAGCTTGCAAACTGTGATGAAAAACTTTTAAAAGATCAGTTGACTATGATTTTGTTGAACTCCATTAGCGATAGACATAGAGGCCTCAGTAATGCTTTAGAATAGGTGGAGCTAAACTTACCAATGATATCATTATCAATGCTCTTGAGAATAAAGTTCTTGAGCTTAAATTTGAATCTATGAACAGTCAAAATGGAGAAAATCTTTTGGCAAAAGACAAAAGTGTTGGTAAATCTAATTTTCACTCAAAATCTTTAAATGATTTTAGAAAGAGAAGTCGCGATAAAAACAAATCCAAGAATAAAGTAAAAGGAAAGAAATATTACCATTGTGGTAAAATAGGTCATTTAGCAAAAGGCTATTTCAAAAAGCAAAGTGATTTGAAAGAAAAAAAATCTAATAAGGGTAATGTTGTGTTGGCCTATGATAAAATGCAGGTTGACAATGGACTAGTTATTGTGGATATGGAAAAGAACCTGAATCAATAATGAATTCTTGATTTAGGTTGTTCATTCGATATGCGTCCATACAAAAATTATTTTTTTGGATTTTGAAAAAACAAAAAGAAGACAAGTTATCATGGGAAATAATATGACATGTAAAGTAGAAGGAATTGGAGCAATTAAATTGCTTTTAGAAAATGGTAAAATTTTACTTCTAACGGACATTAGATTTGTTCCTGAACTTAAAAAAAAAAAAACCTTGTGTCTCTAGGTATGTTAGATGACATGTAGTTTGACATTAAATCGGGTCAAGGACATATCAAAATCTTTAGGGGTAGTGATTTAACCATTTCTATCCAAAGGGACATGGTCTTTATTTCTTATATGATAAACCTCTAATTGGTCTAATTGCAATAGCTTTAGTTGACAATTATAATCTTGCAAAACTATCACATGACAGACTTGGACATATTGGAAAGAAAGGTTTAAAGTCTCTACAAAATAGAGAAATACTTGGAAAATAGAATATTGGTGAATTTTTAAACTTTGTACAATATATGATTGGTATGCAAGTCAAACTGCCTTTTTCTACTGGAACTCATAAAACAAGCAAATTCTGGAATGTTTACATGCTGATTTGTGGGGTATTGCATCTACACCAACTCGGTCTGGTTGTAAATATTATCTTTTTGTCCTTGATGATTTTTCTAGAAAAATTCGGGTATTCTTGTTGAAAATAAAAGATAAAACTTTCATTACCTTTAAAGAATGGAAAACTCAGATAGAAAATCAAACTAATTTGAAAATTAAAACTTTGAGCTTGCAATGGTTTGGAATTCTGCAATTACGAGATCAATGATTTCTATAAATTGCATGACATCCTAAGACATAGAATTATGACTTACATTCCTCAACAAAATGACATTGCTAAAAGAATGAATATGATCTTATTGAACAAAGATAGGTACATACTTTTAAGTTCTGGTTTGCCCAAATTATTTTCGGGTGCAAATGTTAAAATTGTTGCATATCTTGTTAATATGAGTCTTATTAGTGCTTTAAATTTTAATATGCCTAAATCTATCTGGACACAAAATTCTGTTAATTATTCCTAGTTGAAAATCTTTGGCTATGCAATATATGCTTATCAAAATATAGAAAAACTAGAACCTAGATCACTTAAATGTGTGTTTTTGGGTTATGCTGAAAACATAAAAGGCTTCAAGTTGTGGGTAAAAGGAGAAAGAGGTTACAGAGTTATCATTAGAAGAGATGTTGTCTATAATGAATCTAATATGCCATGTTTGGAAAGAAAAAAAAGAAAATTTGACTAAAAAGGAGGTTCAAATTGAGGTGGAGCTGATCATTTAGATAACATCGATTCTGTACCCACAGGAGTTGTTCTTATTGATGAAAATATTTTAAATGAAATGATTATGATCAAGAAATAAATCAACCTGACCAAAATGATTTTGCAACTTTGCAACCTGATGAATACTAACTCACAAAAAATAGGCAAAAAAGGCAAATCATGTCTCCTTCCAAGTTTAACAATGATGATTTTATCTCTTTATTTACTTATCAAGAAGGAATTGAATCAGAACCAAGCTCCTATTATGATGACTTAAATTATAAAGACTATAAAAGTTGGTTGGCTACTATAGAAGAAGAAATGACCTCTTTGTACAAAAATAAAACATGAAAATTGGTTAATAAACCAAATGATCAAAAATTGGTTGACTGCAAATGGATCTATAAACTAAAGGAAGGGGAATGGGGTAATAACAAAGTTAGATATAAAACTAGACTTCTTGTCAAAGAATTTACACAAAAAGAAGGTGTTGAATATGATTAAAAAAAAATTCCCTATAGTTAAATCCACTACTATTAGATGCATTCTTGCTTTGGTTGCCTAGTTTAAGTGGAAACTTAATCAACTAGATGTAAAAACAACATTTCTATGTGGTGAATTAGATGAGTTGATTTACATGAAACAACCATTGGACTTTGTTACAGGTGATCCTAATAAAATTGTGTGTTTGTTGAAAAATCTTTATATGGCTTAAAACAAGTTCTAAGACAATGATATAAAATATTCGACTTATTTGTTTTGAAGCTTGGTTTTAATAGAAACAATTATGATACTCGTCTTTATTGTGAAGAAGATGGAGGTACTAATTCTCTATATTTGGTATGCAGATTATGAGAAATGAAAAAAATGGATCTCTTTTATAAAATCAACAAGATTATGTGAATAAAATCTTTAAAAAGTTCAACATGTTTGATTGAAAACTTGCATCTTTACCCTCATAATCATTTTGAATTGTCCTTTGATTTTTGCCCTAAAACATAAGATGAATATGATAGAATGTCTAAAATTCCCTATGCTAATGCTATTTCATATGTAACGTATTTGATGATTTGTACCAGACCTGACTTAACTTATAGCATTAGTGTCTTGAGTAGATTTATGGGAAATTCTTGTGAAAGTCATTAAGAAGAATTAAAATGGTTAATGAAATACTAAAGGGATCATTTGACTTAGGCTTAGTGTTTAAAATGAATAAAGAGAAGGACATTTTAAGGGGTTATGTTGATTCTGACTTTACTGGAGATAGAGACAATATGAGATCTACTTTATTTGATTTCTTTGTTTTGTATAGTACTATAATAAGTTAGAAATCTCAATTACAAAAGGTTGTTGCTTTATCTGCTATTGAGGCAGAATATATTGTTGCTACTGATACTATTAAAGAAGACATTTAACTTAATGGACTTTTAAATGAACTTGATTTTGTGGATACAAATGCTATCTTATTTTTTGATAATTAGTATACTTAAGTAAAATCCCATGTTTCAAGATAGAACAAAACATTTGTGTGTTAAATTTCATTTTATAATGGATGTTATCTCAAAGGGATTAGTTAAAGATTGATAAAATTGCAATTCAATACAACCCATTTGATATGGGAACAAAAGAGATGCCTTTAAGCAAATTTCATAATTGTTTAAAGTTGTTATCTGTTGATACTTTGCATTAAATGACCAGGTACATAGAGTGAATGAAAATTGTAAATTGTTGATGAGACTCCTAGCTACACTATTGCCATTTTTTGGTAAAAGGTGGAGATTGTTAATTTTCAAACCCTGAACCTTCAAATGTTAAAGGTATGCTTCCAAAATTTGGGAGAAAGTGTTTTTCCAAAACACATTTCTCATAGTGGATGTTTTTAACTGGATTGAGGCATTTGGCATCTTCGTGATCGTTAGATTAACATATCTATGGTTCTAGCCTTATATTCATCTTTGTGACTGTTTGACCCTTCACTTCATCTGGTTCAACTGTTGGCTGCTTTTTGAGAGAACTTTTCCTTTTGTGTTAGGGTTTCTCATTCTTGCTTCATTCAATGAAGCACTGTAATAATTTAGATTGAGAGCATATTTTGTTGTTCTAAGTGATTTGAGAAAATAATCTAATGATTCATTTGGATTGTATATTTCTGTAAAGGGTCTAAATATTTGGTTGCGAGTTCTTTGTGGAGAGTGCTTTGATTTGGAGTTTTCTTTAAAGATAAGTCTCTCCGTGGCTTGATCTTTGTAATATCTAGAACCTATTGTGTCTTGACTTCCATATTTGGTTTTATAGTTCAACTAAGCTTCATCCATTTACAATGGATGCTCAACATGGAATTAGGCGTTAAAAGCAGTCGCCGAACCTCTAAAGTTACGGTCGAAAAATCTTCTGTGTTGATTTTAATTTTTGCAAGTTTTCATTTCGTATTCTATTTTTTTAGATTTTAGATCTTTGTTAATCTTGTATGTTTCTTGACCTTTCATAATATTTTTTTGTTATCATGGTTGTAAATAAGTTGTCACTTACAACTATCCTATTGTCAAAAAATAAGTAATATTTTTTTAATTATAAATAACAAAATATAACTTTTCTAAATATTTTTTTTGGTTAAATAACAATTTACTTTAACTTTAGTTCACTTTTATGCTTGCTCACAATAGTTTCGCGTACAAGAAGAAACCTAGTGTATTTACATGAAAAATATATATTTTTATTTAAATATTATCTTCAACAACAATCAAGATAAGTATCTTCTTTTAAGTTTACTAGTTTTATGCCCGTTGTATTATTTTTAAGGTAATGTTAGCTTGTTAGATAGTAATAGGTTTTCCATCTTTTATCAACTCTTAGAATAGGGAATACTACTAAATAACAGAATAATCCTACAATTAAATAACATAGGACTTGATGAAGACTTGTTAACATGAGAAAGACTTGCAATAAAGGGCCAAAATGAAGCTGATATCTAGATAACGAATGTCATTTTAATGAAGTGAAGAGAAACCAAAGTCATAAATAGTAAATACACAATCCACCCAATCCTCATGCTTAAGAAATTTGAAAATTGCTTCAAACATTATGTTGTTGAATCGAATTTGCAAGGTAAGATATTCTACTACACAAAAAAACCTTTGAACCTGCAACGAAATGGATGTTATTGGTCAAATTACATAATTTGCTAGTAAAACTCTGATTTAAACCAGGTTTCTCTGTTGATAATCATACCTTTCCCTCGAAAAGGCAAGAGTAACATCATCAAATAGTGCAAGATGCAAATATATTACCATGAAAAACATGAAATCAAAAAACAAACTTATGATCTAAAACCCAATTATTTGGCTATAGAAATCTAATATACTTTCTCTTCTTCTTCTTCTTCTTCATCCTCTGAAATGCTTTTGAATTGCTCGTGGATTCATGGAATGAAGTACCTGTTAGAGTCAGTTATCAAATCAATTATCCACAGATTTTCCATAATTTTAAAGAAAAATATATGGCAAGTGTAGATTCATTGTCATATTACCCTGATTTTCTAAGCTATATATAATCACAACATACACACACATACAGTAAGTTGGAGGAGGATAATGTTGTAGAAATCGGTTGTTATATGTTTGTTGTTAAAAGAAAGCCTCTTTACAGCAATATTTCTTCCAACTTGCAAAACTCCCTGAAAGAACAGGAGTTTTTAGCTTAGACATCAATATTTATGATAATATTTTAAATTTTCCAGAAAAGTGTAGATTATACATGTTTGTAGAACTACAACCTTATACAATGTGGCAAATCCATCTTGCTCAAGCTTGTTGGCTTCATCAGAAGACTTAGTTGCTTTCTCAAGTGTGGAATATTTGAATTAGTTGCTTTCTCAAGTGTGGAATATTTGAAGTTTGAGCTACTATGATGAAAGTTCTGTGCCAATTTCTCTGCATCACACAAAGCTTGGAAGAGATGAGACCATCATATATATCATCAATAGTGTTCAAAGACCTCATCTACCTAAATATCATAACATTGAGTGCTTGATAATTATTCAAGAATCTTTTAGGGAAAAGTGCAACGTAATGCACAGGTGAAAGCAGTGAAGCCATTGCTAAAAATTCTTCTATAAAAAGTAAATTTTTGAAGCTTATGTTTGAATAACTGTGTTATACCGCTGATATGTTACACTTAAATAGGCTAAATGCAGTCTATGTTTCCAATTTTTTTGCATTGTAATTTGCTTTCAGATATAAACTCCAATCAACGCTCCAATAAAAAAGAGAACTATGGAACCAATGGCTGCCACTATAATAATTGTTATTTTTCCTGCAAAAGTCAGTTCAAAATGCTCATGATCAAGTTACATTGGTACAGAATTGAAGTTTCCACATCTTAAGAAACAAAATAAGAATTTTTAATATTCAAAGATGGAAGTGTGACATATCGTCTAGATGGTCTTCAATTTACAAGAAATGAGGCTTCTCCTCCTGTATGAACCAAAGGAGGTAAAAATTATTATAGAAGTGCTAGGGGAAATATCATAAAGTACAACAAGAGTTGGATTCTAGAAATGTCATTTTGCTTTAGAATTCCTGACCCAAAAAAAAGAATAACAAATCTCTGTCGACAGATGATGGCAGAAGAGGATGAGGATGTGCAGCAGAACTGACTCCGCATCTGCTGTATCTCTAGTACTGTTCTCCCCAATTAAAGAAATCAATTCAAGTAAAAAACATGGACATCATAATATTCCAATAATTTAAGTTGAAAATGTGTTAAAAATGGCAAATAAAATTCAATTCTTGACACGTAACTACCGATTTTTTTCCCAAAAAATCACAAAGAGGAAACTGAAATCACAAAGAACGGGTTCAAGAAATTGATAAAACAAACCTGCTCGAGATAGGTCTGAATGATAGGAAAAAGCTGACGGGAGTGTTGTTGAAGTTAATCGGACGGCCAGTGTAATGGGTTTACGTGGGATCGGAAGTCAGTTGAGTGCAAAAACTTGGAGGAGAATAAAGTTTCAAGAACGGCTAGGAGGCACGATATATCTGGTAGTGGTAGGAACAGAGTTGGGGTGGGACAGAGGGATGCTAAATTTCTATGGCAACTGAACTTAGGATTCGAGAGAGAGAACCGAAGGCAGAGTTTCAAATGCAGACAAAAGTGATTGATGAGCAGAGATATTTAGAGGGGAATTGATTGATGAACTGGAAAGAACCAGTTTGAACAATAATTATCTAGTTATCGTGTGAAAAGGAGTACCATGCAAATGAACAGTACTGGCTAATTCTCTCTTTTATATAAGTGCAATGAAATTAAAAAAAGAAAAAACAAAAAAAGAATAACTTATCTAAAGACAATGTGGAAATGAAATTATTACACAAAAATTAATTTGTTTTGCCAATTGTAAGAAAGATCAATCATCAGAGATATAGTATCAGATGAGACAAGCTCCTACGTCTACAAGAAATCCTGCGATTTCAATTTCGTTGACAGGTGGGCGAGATAGTATGGGCCGGCAATACTAACAAAGCCCAGTTCTCACCTAGTAGAATCCCGTCCCTCCCTAGTAGAATCCCGTCCCTTAAAAGGATTGTCGAACTTCACTGTTATTTATCGCGTCTAAATTTAGCTAAACAAGCAAGTATTTTCAGATAGAGTAATATTATTCATATTGAGCGATTGCAATAGTTATGCTATCTAGCAGCTTATTAATATTCTGCACATATTTGACAATGGAATTGTACACTATCATAATTAAGATTTTAATTTAGTTTTCTTATTTAATCCTTATTTGATACAAATTCTTTATAATCGTTTTTTTTCTCCTAACCCATTTTCAAACTCACACTCTCTTAATAAAATAATTTTGTACATAAATATATATAATTTTTTTCCTAATTTTTAATCACACATTCTTGTTATGTACTGAAATAATTTTATTCCACCTCGACTCAAAGTCAGACACAAAAGAACCTCATTGCATGCTGACGTTTGCATCTCGGCCTCCGATGTACAGCAAACCAAATATAAGCAACGGCCGTCAAGACTCTTCCTATCAATGAAACTCAGACCCACAAACGAGCATTCCGAAGGCAATGATATGTAAACCAAAGAGAGGCTTATGTTCCCTTTACGATTTTGCATAGAACTTACGAACCAATCGAAGACTAAAATACAAAAAGTTTTTAGGTAAGAAAGAGATTGAAACTTCAACAAAACTTTATAGTTTTACTTCCCTTTTTTTATCATATTTGTTTCAAAAAGTTGTTAAGAGATGGTGTATTAAACCCTTAAATTTTGCTTCTTTTCTTTGTCATACTTAGCTCAAAAATGTAGATAGGGCATCAAAACTTTGTACCTTTGTTTCTTTTCGTTTGTGATATTACGTTCATAGGTAAAAGATCGAGATAGTACATCAAAACTTTTATGTTTTTGCTTTTTTTCTTTTGTCATTTTTCAACAAAAGGTTAATGGAGATAACGCATCATACTATTTACACGACTAACTTGAAGCATGAATAAGAAAATAAAAGAAATATTATACAGATTTATGGTTACATTTTCTCTTTAACACATCTAAGCTTAATTCGTGCATGTAATTTGCCATAATTAGGAAGAAAAAGTCTGCAAAATTTCCATAATAAAATGAAAGTACAGGACCATTGTTAATTATGAAAAATTATAACATAATCTAGTGTAAATTACTTAAAAAAAAATTATCATTGTCAATCCTTGCAATCAAAAAGGGAAAAATACAAGCCAGAATATATAAAATTATAGAAGGCTGAAGAATGAAGAGAACTAGGATATTTTGAGCATATTCGTCAAAGTTGGCTAAAATGTCTATATTCTTTTGTGGTAAGACCCTTGATACTACCAAAGAAGAGGGTTTTTAAGTACGTTTGTGGCATTTCAGAAAAGACAATCATGCTCTTAGAGTGCACGTGCTTTTACAATATCGAGACTCATCTCACTAGGATCAGTTGCTTGCAGTTCAACTTGAATTCCGTCCAATTCCCTCTTAAATCTGTCCTTTGAGCTTGCATACACCATTTTCATTCTCACTTTAGAGGTATCTGGTGACCTAAAATTTCATTTTTCCACATATTAATTAGGTTAAGAAAACAAAAGGAGCATGCTCGATGTAATGAACAAGAATCTAACGTATATACTTTTATAATACCATTCAGTCATAGTCAATCCTCATTCGAAACATACCATTCCAAAGTCATCCCGAAATTCATATGAATATGTTTATTTACATGCATTTGCTATCTCTATTGTTCTATACTAGCACAAGTGACATATTATTTAGGATTGGATAAGATTAAAGAAGATATATGCATAAGATGTTTATGTGTTTTATGATTAGTTTAAATTTACCCTAAATAGATTATTTTTGTTGGCAACTACTTATAATTTGTTTATAAATGATCAAATCAAATTTTATCCACATATTTCATGGTACCACAAATAATATCAACCAATTAGCCATTCATTTATATCTATTTATTATTTAAAAAGTTTATAAGCAACTCCGAAGCATGCTTACGTCATGAATTGGATAGGATAATAGATAAACATTTCACGTATTTCTCATTTTAAATTTTGCTTAGCATCACACACCAAACATGTCCTAATGTACATTAAACTAAATAGAATTGAATAAGATATTTGACTTCAGAGTCCCAAACATGTCTTCACGAGTCCTTTTTAACACAAACACGTGATTTAAGTGTACATTGGACTAGACATGATAACAAACAAGGAATTTATGAAGACTTGGAGTTCCATTTTAAAAGTTCAATATTGTTAAAAAGAGTAGCACAAACATTATATATTGGTTACTTAGGCTTATTTCCTAATATAGCTTATGTGCACTTATTTATAGTTATGCATAATCGCAATTAGTCTAACATACCAAATATGTCGTCATTATACATGAGAGTGGACAAAACTAAACAATACAAAAATAGCAATATGAATAGCATACCAAGCAACGAAGTAAATCTTGCTTTTCTGGCAATTTTCATTAGTAGTAAAATCGAAATCATATACTGCATAACGACATTCATTTTCTGGCAAAGAGGCAGTGAAATCATCGTAATTGTCTTGAGGATTCCCAAGTTTCTCCACAACAACTTGTTGATTCTCAATCTTGAATACTATGTAACGGTAGTTTCTTTTTGCTTTTAATTCCAGAAATTTCAGTTTGCACTCATCTTGGACTGCCATTCCAGATGCTGAATTTGCCTGTCAAATACTGAAATCTATCTGTAATTTTGAATAATTGCCATTTCTAGTACATAAAGATCTAAACCCTACTTTACCAATCATTCTAGAAAGTTAAAATAACGTAGTTTTATTTATAATTTTCATTGAAATATGATAGATCCCACAAAATAAAAATTAATTAATTCATCTTGTGAAACATATTCTTATAAGAAAACATCAAAGTTGCATGCATGAAAAATACGATATAAAATTCTTTATCATCTAAAAAAAAAATTATGTGTTTTAATCATGTTTGTCTAAGAACACGACAAATGTGGTATACTATACAATTCGTTATCGTCATAAGCAAAAATATGCAAGTGTTGTGAATCATACTTTTCTAAGAATTCAACAACTATATAATTATAGTAAATTCGATAAAAGACATTATCATAGATTCATAATACAAGATGTGAATCATAATTTTCTAAGAACATGATGAACGAGAAAATACAACAAACAGAGATTGGGGAAAACAATGGTACCATGTTGTCTTTCAATGAAGAGTAGAAAGAACCTTCAAAACAATCACGAAAGGGAAGGGGAAAGAGAGGTGGCATAACGAGGAGGATGGATCCACAAGAGAGGAGAAGTTAGGCTGTTTTTAAATAAGAGAAAAACATGGAGAGTAGGAGAATTTTGAGGGAGAAAATAAGGGTTAAGAATTGTCTAGACATTTCGTTTCATAATTAGCTCTTGTTTGATTTAGATAAAATACTTTTAGTTGATTTTGATAAAAGTTGATAACATTTGCAGATAAAATTAGATTGTTGATTTAAACTTGGATTTTTTTTTCCAACTTTTTATTTGAATCAAACAAAGGCTTAGGCCCTGTTCTCTTTACCGTTTTCGGGTCGTTTTCTGTTTTCGATTTTTCAAAACGGTGAAAACGCGTTCTCTTTTCCGTTTTCGAAAACGAATTTTCGAAAACGAAAAAAAATTTGTGAAGAAAACACAAAACGACTTTTTTGTCGTTTTGGGCGTTTTCAGTGTAAAACTTGACAAAATTGAAAACGCGGGAAACACTTCTTTTTTTTTTTTTTTTTTAGGGGGGGGGGTGGGTTTTTTTAAAAATTTAAAAAAACATTTTCAACAATTTCAAAACAAACACTCAAAACACAAAACTCAAAATGAATTCAAAACTCAAAACACAAAGTTGAAACACAAAGAGAACACCCCCTTAACGTCTGTACAAATGATCAATTACTCTTTTCACATCACATCACACTATTCATGCATGTACCGATGTGGGTGTATATATCATTGAGAGAAAAATAATCTTTTAAGCAATCTGACTTAATTTATGCCACATAACAGTAACATGGCAAATGTTACACAAGTTTTCAATTTAGAGAATGAACGGGCCGCTTTGGGATTATGTAACATGTTCAATTTTTCAAAATTTTAAAATATAATAAAACCAGATTTCAATTTTTCTTGTCAAACTGATTGGGTTAAAAACTTAATTTTTCCAAATTTATTTCAATTATACTTTCTCTAAAAAAAAAAAAATTGCATGTAAACTCAAAAAAAATTCATAATTCTTAACAAAGCATCAGTCTTACAAAATCTTTATAAAAAAGAGGCCCAAATTATTTATATATTGGCCCTTTTGACCAATTTGAAAAAATAATCAACGGCCATTTATTTACTTTTTGTCCTCAAAATTAGTGTTTACCAATAATGTTTATCATAAATTTATTCAATTTATGCTTTTTGGAGCTATAGGCCTACAAAGACAAAAATAGTATATTTTTTACCTTCTTCATTTAAATTAACCATATTAATCCAAATTTGTCTCTTTACTCTGAGTTATCACAAAAATACTTTTTACACAAAATTGGGGAGCTTCCCAAGTGACAATTTGGAAAAGCCCAAAGAAACCAAATTACTGTGTAACTTTTTCCTATTAAGATCAAAATTCTTTTAAAATAGAAGCATTAGAGTGCTAACAAAACTTCATGCAACAAAGCGGTAACGGACGCAGTGATTTTGATTTAGGGGTACAATCAAACTTTCAAAAAAATTGTGAGAAATTTTACATTTGAAAATTTACATCCGAAATTTTTTTGTCAAAAATATTAATAGAAGGAGCGCTCCCCATTTTTTTTATAGTAAAAATCAAGCAATCGTTTCAGTTCCTTTGTATCGCAATAAAAAATAGAGTACATATTGTTTAAATTACCATAATTTTGGTGACAATTTCATAAATAGATAAAAAAAAAAAAAATTATCCATGGAATTCTGAAATTTTTTAATTAATTGAATTCCTAAACATCAGATTTTGTTAATCACCTAATCTGTCAAAAGTAAAAGTTGAATATTCCATTGATCTAATTTTTTATTACTTACTTGACTGAGGCCAGTCTGGAAAAATGGTTAGAATGGAAAAAAAAATCTAGTAAAGCCCAATTAAAAGGCAGCATGCTATTCTCAGTTCCTGTTTAAGTCACTCATAGAGCAAAGGGGAAGCGGCTAAGGTTTTCTTCCTCATTATTTGGCTGAAAATTGGGAATAATTTAGTGGGAAGGAGAGGCTACAAGGGAGACGTACTCATCACCCGATCGGCACCAATTTATCTTGAGTTGCAGTGATTTCTACTCAACTTCTTCATCAACAAAATTGAAAGGTAGTATCCGATTATTAGTGTAAACGGGCTGTATATGTTGAAATCGGAGTCGATCTGATTGTTATGAATGATTTAATCTCAAATCAACTACGTATTATTATTATTATTTTTTTTTTCAAATTGTTGTTTATTGATGGTATCTTCCTCTAGCAACAGTGATTTTTTTGACAATATTTCTCTTGAATTTTTGATGCGGTTGTTTGTGGTTTTCTCCTTGCCTTATAATGAACTGGCAGCCCCTCAAGTCTGATAGGCGAAATATCCAGGCTCCGCCGCATTTTATCCACTATTCAGGCTATTTAATGAATAGAAATTGAATTGAAGCAAGCAAGCAAAGGATTTCGCTTTAGTTTTATTTTGACTCTAGTGGCCCTTGATCAGTTAATAAAATTTTTCAGCTCATCCCTATTTCTTTTGCAATTTGTTGTTTTCGTAGTCAATTTGGTTAAGTTACGTGAATAATTTTACTCCTTCATTGCTAGATGTAATAGGAGATCTAAATAACTAGGTTCTCTAGAAAATGAACAGTCAGCTTGAGAAAATTTATAAAGACATATGGTTCGGGGAATAATAGATCCATGATGATTATTATATTTTTGTAGTTCCTGGTTATAGTATCTTGGGGTAAAAGCATTCCCCCCCCCCCCCCCCCCCCCCCCGGAGCAA